ACACTGCCCCTTATGAGTGACTTTGTTTTACTGAGTGGAGCTTAACCCTTTGAGTGCCAGGGAGCGCGATTGCGCTCCCCCTGTCTTTCCCCAAAAGTGCCGGGAGTGCTATCCCGCTCCTCCTACAGTGTCGCTATTAGATGCTAGTAGTTCACTCTTTATTGACAGATGGCACCTAAGTGCAGATATGATGCCGGATGTTTGTAGTTCTAAAATTGACCTTTGGCATTTTTATGAAGCTTACTCAGATTTTGTAGCCCTAAAGCTTCGAAATGGTGTCCAGTTCTAAGTCTTCTTTTATTATCTAAATATTTTAGATTTTTTATCAAAATCTTATTAAAAGTTAAAGATTAAAGGGTTAATTTACTGTTGACCAAAATTAATAATGCCCGCCAAGCTGGGGCACCTGGCCATAGCGGTATATGTGTAATGTGACATGGTTCTGGTGGGGATAGACAGTGAAATTTCTGATGGTGACTGCAGGGAGGGGGACTTGGCTGTGTACATTTGCCTGCTTAAATGAGGCGGTCAGGGGCATTCAGGTGACATTTAGCAAAGGCCTGAGCAGGAGAGGACTTGTGGATGTCACAGGGAAGACATTTAGACTCTTGCTTAGGGTCTTAATTTTCTGCTTTGAGATGGGAAGTTAGTGGAAGATGGACACGATCACACTCAAATTTTAATAGTACGTCTTAGATTGTAAGGTGGCAATAATAACAAAATAGCTGATGTTTTATAAGGATTGGCTAAGTACTTTTTTCTAAGATCTTCATATGTGTTCTTTAACCTGCACAGCACCTCATAAGGGTGACTACCGATATCTGTAAGAACAAATAGTGAGAGGCCTCCCTTTGACAATCTCATGAAAATTCAGAATTCCTTTTCCCAGTGACACTGGTATTGGGTGAGGCTGAATCCCAGAGGTTGTAAGGAGCAGGCCACTGCTGGTTCTGGTCTCAGGACTCAGAGCTAGTCACAGTGAAACTTGCTCAAGGCTGTAGTTAGATGACAGTCATGTGGCAGAGATGACAGGTGATCTGTAGGTGTCCAAGGATTGTGGTTTTCCAGGGTAGAAATGGAAATTGCAAGGGGAAGTCAGCACCTTCGCTTTCTACTAAATGAAGCCATTTAGCCACAGGAAAGGGAGGGGGAGAAGTGAAGCTAAACCTTTCCAAGGACGAAAGTTTTGGGCTTTTATCTCCGTGTTAAGGTGCTCATTAGCTATAGCCTGTGCTGTGAAGCTGGTAGGGCTTTCTTAACTCCAGGATATTAGCTTATGCCCAGGCTTTGTCCCGGGAGTCATAGTTTGATAACAGCAGCCCTTAGTCTTGCAGGTGAATGCTGAGCCCTTTTAGTGGGTTGTCATTTTCCTTCCTGACAACTCTGAGGAAGGTTCTCCTCTTCCAGATGAGGACATAGCTGTATGTGGTCACATGCCCTTGCTGGTGAGATGGATGTAGCCATAGGAACCTGCCTTAGGGTTGTGTGAGGGTCACACCAGTCACATGGTGGCTGGTATGTTGACTCCTATGTCAGAATTAGCTCGTACGTGCGCTGATGTCCCACCAGCACGGTCAGCATAGGGTGGAGGACTTGCACCCATCAAGTGTGAGCTCAGCCAGAACCGTAGCTCATGCTTCCTCCCCCTCACCAGGCAATGCCCTGCTGCGGCGCCTGGTCCGAATTGGGGTGCTGGACGAGGGCAAGATGAAGCTGGATTACATCCTGGGCCTGAAGATCGAGGATTTCTTGGAGAGGCGCCTGCAGACCCAGGTCTTCAAGCTGGGCTTGGCCAAGTCCATCCACCATGCCCGTGTGCTGATCCGCCAGCGTCACATCAGGTACCACCTATGCCAGGCTCCCTGAATCCCTCAGCCCCCGCCACCCCCACCCCTTCTGAAGGTTGCTCTCACTAAGCCTGCTGTCCCTGTCTCCTGTGCAGCCCTCGGAGGTGACAAAGGTGTGAGCTCACCTTGAGGGTACAGAGTGACCCCTACAAACAGCTTGTGGGGAGCTGGGGGCCGCCTCACCCCCCCATAGCCCAGCGCAAGGGTCACTGCGGCTTGAGCCGTACACCTTGCGAAGGCCTCTGCCAGGCATGCAGGCAGCTGGACAGGTAACAGCTCTGGTGCCCCCAGTTGAGAGAGAAGTCATTGGGCCTCAGTTTGCTTGGGTGGGCTCAGCTGGATCCTGGACCCACTCGTGAAGTTATTCCAGACCCTGATCCTCTTGGATTCTTGCACTGTGGGTGTTAACTTGGCTAATGGACCACAGTCCAGGGTCTGGTGCGGCGCAGATGCTGGCTCAGGGTGGTGGCTGGTGCAGTGAAGACAGGGCAGCGGGTCTTGCCCTTTCTATAAATTGGCACCACTCGGGGGGAGCTATGCAGTAAGTGGCCAGGATGCTGCTTTATGGAATTGCTGCCTAAGCCCTTCCCTAGCCCTGTGGGCCTGCGACGACCCACGGGCAAGAGCCTCAGTCACATTTCTTGTTGGAAATGACTTCATAGAGCCCAGCCTCCGGCTGCTGCTTCCAGGGCAGTGAAACTGCAGGAAAACGAAGCTCCGTGTCTGGCACAATTCAGAATATTGGAAGGTCAGATCTCGGATTTATACACTGCCACCTCACCTCATTGGCTTTGTGGCCTTGTGTGGTTACCTCTGAATCTCCCTGTTGTGTGAAATGAGAGAAGCTCATCTCACAGTATCTGTACGGGTTAGATTAGATGGACCCGGAGGCCATAGGGTCAGGAAGTCCGGCCAGCTTAGCTGTGTGAGCGCAGCTATAAATGCCAAACCTGTCAGCTTGAGGCACAAGTGAGGAGACTGGTGTCTTGTCCAGTGTGGGGTCCTACTCCCCCTTGACCTGCCATCCCCCCTCCAGGGTCCGCAAGCAGGTGGTGAACATCCCGTCCTTCATTGTCCGTCTGGACTCTCAGAAGCACATCGACTTCTCCCTCCGGTCTCCATACGGGGGTGGCCGCCCAGGCCGCGTGAAGAGGAAGAACGCCAAGAAGGGCCAGGGCGGGGCTGGAGCCGGTGATGACGAGGAGGAGGATTAGGTCCCCTCATCCCCCCTGGACTGGCGGAGTGTCTAGTTTTCCATTCAGATAATAAAACACTTTGAACTGGTCTCTATGGTGATCTCTTTCTCTCCCTGCTCCGAACATAGTCTGTAGCTGGGAAAAGTGTGGCCTGGGTTCTTCACCAGGTTACTTAGAGCTAGTTCACACCTGTCAAACTTTCTGCACAGGGGGCCTGGCTAACCTGGTTTGGTCACATCCGTGTGGGCTTTTATTTCTGGTGTAAAACAAACATCCATATACACTGCGAAGTTATCACCCCCTAAAGTCTAGTTGCTGTTAATCAAAAAATTGGGGATGCTTCATGAATCTGCACGTCATCCTCGCGAGGAGCCATGCTGAGCTGTCTGTTCACTGTTAGTATGTGCTGCTGCTGAAGCCACCACTGTGGGTACTTGTGACAGCCTGTAGGTGCCAGTCCTTGTCCTAAGGTAGGGCCTGTGCTAGTGGACAAAACATTCACACAACAGGGAGACCAAGGCTATAACGGGAAGGTTCTTTGAATCAAAACTTGATAACTATTGGCAAGCAAATTTTTTGTTAATCCTTGCCTGAGGGTATTTTTCAATTTGCTATTTAGGGAGAGAGGGAAGAACAAACAAAAATTGGTTGCCTCCTGCACAAGCCCCAGCCAGGTATATGTCCTTGACCGGAATCACACCGGACCCTTTGGTCTGTAGGCCAGTGACATTAACCTGTTGAGCTCAGCATGTCAGCATTTTGAAGAACCCTAACCTAACTCTGGTGCCGTGTTACATAGAAATTTTTTTGATATTTGCAACCATAGTAGAACAAAGACATTTTTGATATTTTATACAGATTTGTGCACATTGAACAGGAATTAATTAGAAGGTGGCTGGCGGGGCGGGACTGGGTGAGACAGGTGGGACATTCCCTGAAACCAACCTCCCAAGTTCCCTCCCGGGCATCTGTGGAGTGAGCGGGGGTCCCTTAGGTGGGGTCCCTTGGGCTGGCCTGCAGAGATCAGGCCAGAACCAGCTCTCCAACATCCCCCGAGGGGTCCCAGAGTAAGAGAGGGCACTCTGCAAAGTTGCTTTCCTCCAGGGTGTGGAACACAAGTGTGCAGTGAACCAGATTCTGGGCTGATGGTGCCCCAGCAACAACGTAACCCATGGCCAAAGGGGGAATCGCGAGGCCCTGCGAGAATTGGGCTCTCTCTCTGGTTTTGGGGTGCGTCACCCGATAACTGCAGCTGCCAAGTCACTGCAGCTTGGCAACTGCAGTGAGTACCCCCTGGTGGTCAGTGTGCATCATAGCAACCAGTCAGACAGTGGGAGGGACACAGCATATTAGTCTTTTTTATATATAGATATTTAAATGCTATTTAACAAAGAAAAATCAACCAAAAAAATGAGTTTGCATGTCACCTCTGATAGGCGTGTCAAGGTTCGCCATCACTGCTGTAGGCTGACGTTCTAGCCACAGCCAAATTAGCTAGGGTGGAAATCATTTTAAGTTTAAAGATGAGCATTCTGAATAAAAAACCAGGAAGTTCTGAAAGCTGGAGTCATTTGCATGTAGAGCAGTGATTCCCAAAGTGGGCGCTACCCCCCCC